AAGGAATGATTGAGGTATACATGAACCTAGATGAGAGTTGCCATCATATTTTATCGATGTGGGACTCTAGATTTCGACTTCTTGATGAAAATTTAAGTGGCTAGCTTTAATGCATCAACAGTCTTGATCTTGTATTTGTTGACAGGTTTGTCTTGTTCTTTCCAGTTCATCCCCCCTCAACAAAAAAGAAAACATACCTGCAGTTTTCTCCCCCAGATATTATCTATGGAGTTGAAAATTATAATCTTCGATCAATTGTCAAAAATGATGGAGAGAAATGTGATGCATAAATTGCGAAGCAGAAAAGAAGGTAGAGTCGAAATTCTTGATTCTGTTTTGTTTTTCTTCCATGTGACATGCATTTGTTTGAATAAAAATTAATAAAAAGAAGGAAAGGAAAGGGAGGGAAGAGAAAGATAGATAAAGAGAAAAAATTTATTAATATTAATTTTGTTTGAATAGATAAAAGTGTAGGGTGAGGAAAAGATAATATTTTTATTTAATTAAATAATTTAAAAGAAAAGAAAAGAAAATATTTAAAATTTATTAATTAAAAAAATAATTGATATAAAATATTTACATTTATATTTAAAAAATTAAATGTATAAAGCAAATTCTCCTCAATCTTTTTCACTTGGAAAGATTAAAAATAATAAAATAAAGATGTTACATCTTTCTCTCTACGTTAAAATCAATAATTCAAACACACAAAAAAAAAAAAAAAAGTATATTTTCCTCTTTGTTCCCTTCTCCTCCCAACTTTTCCAACTCAAACTACAGCTTGGAGTTAAAAGAGAAAGAAAGCAAAAGGGGTTGTCCAATCTAAGCAGTTTTGAAGGGTGTGGTCCGGTAAAGAGAGTTCCGTGTCTCCAATGAATACAAATACAAAACCAAAGATTGACAACAATGTGTACCTCATGGTAGGTTAGGGGTGCACAAGTGATCAATTGAGAGAATTATCATTTTAGATCGATCTCTGATGACGTATCGTGTGGGTATTGGTGTAGATTGTCTACAGGGTACGGTAATTTACCATCCCTGTTAAATTTTCTGCTCTTGTTCTTGGGCCTACATTGTGTAACTTCAATGAATAGAAATATACTATAGATTCAAATCGCCAGTTGGGTTAAAGTTAAACAACCAACTCACCTGGCCAAAAGTCTTCCCTCATTTTTGGGGGGAGCGGAAGCAGACAAGTTTGAAAGCAGAGAAATTTGTTCTTGCACTACTTTTTCGCGGAACTGGCCCCAGTTTCTCTTGTAGAAATGGAAATAAAAGAATTCCACGCAGCTACCCTCTTCCTTTTTTACCATCTTTCTTTTCCATTTCTTTTTCTTTTCTATTTTTTGGATAACTATTTCTGAAGACAAAGAAAAAGAATCCATTTTGCGCCTTTTTCTTCCTACCTAAGCAAAATTGAGATAAAAGTTTCTTTATTAGCTACCAAATTAAGAGATGCCCAATAATAGATAGCAAGCACCTATTCTTTAACCATCAGATTCCGGGATGACCACATTGGAGGCCCGCACGAGCTAGTTCTGCAAAAAGTAAGCAGCGTCAACGCTCGGCCGGTCCATTACCCCCCACAAATTATTGTGCACCTTTTAGGATAGCCGCGACAGGCAGCACCCACAAATTATTTTCCTTACAATTAGTTTACGGCAAGTTTTAAATTTTAGAAATCAGGCACTTATAATAATTCTACCTGAGGACAGCGCTTTTATTATTATTATTATTATTATTATTATTATTAATAATTTTCGATGTGGGATTCCGTAAATGATGTATTACCACCGCCTACAATTTCAGTAACTGATGCAGTCTTTCTTTAATCTACAATGCCACAAACACAGAACCTAATGACAGAATTCAAGTGCTGCGGTTTTGAAGTCACTTAAGCAGTCATAGTTTAGTGCGTGACAAGGTTCAATTTGCTCCAGCACAATCAAAATTATGAAAAAGGAGACTGCTACAGGAAACAATTGCTCACACAAGTAATTGAATTAATACAAGGTCTGGTATTACAGTACAAATCCCATCAATGTACGCTATCGTCTTCAGTCCTTGATTACATTATATTTCTCACACCCGTTTGTATCAAGCATGCGGCCAAAAACCTTCCTTTCCTGTTAATTTATCTGATGAATCAACACAGTTACTTCAAATAATTGGATTTCCAGTTTTGGCATTTCTGCAATCAACAAAGTATGATATCCACGAGTTGAAAAACTTTATCTATCAGGTGACTTTCAGCTAAAAGTTTTCTACATGATTTGAGTTTGGGGAAGTCGAGCAGGATTTGTTGGTGGGAACAAAAAGAACAGCAACCAAATTGAATAGCAGATTGATCAGCAGATTCTCCTCCCTATCATGCTTCCTAAGACTGTCCATGTTCAGGTTTGTGGGTGTATTCATAATCAAGGTGAACAAAGGCTCGCTCGATCTCAGGCAGCAGCTCAAGCTTCTCTTGCAGGGATTCTCCAATGTCGTGGGCCTCTTGCAAGGGCATGGCTGCTGGGAGTACGATGTCAACCTCCACAAAGTAGTGAGACCCAAAGGTGTAAGCACGGACTGTATCAATATGTCTTATGGCCTCGTGGTGGTTCCAGCATAGGTAGGTGAGTTTCTGAAGATATTCCGGAGTAGCTGATCTTCCTACCAGCGAGTTCACATTTTCCAACACTGTCATTGACCACGTGCGGATGGTGTACAAGGCGAGCTGCAGCAATGGTGTACAGTTAATAAAGACTAGAAGCATGGTTTGTGAATTTGACATATAAATTAGTAATGGGTGAGTAGCTAAAAAGAGACTAGCACTGGTTTATAATGCAAATGGAAAGATTAGGTCAGTCTCATTTGACATGCATATTTTAAGGGTTTAAAGATTTAAAGAGAAGCTAAAGCTACCAACTACTCAGAGTTGGGACTTACAGTCATCTAAATCTCTGTTTGCAGAATGGAAGTTCGGGAATACCCTTTGAAAGAAGACTTTGTTGTTTCAAAGTTCAAGCCTTTCCTATATTCATATCCTCTATCTCACCTTTCAGATAATGTTAATATTTAACCTTCTAAATTTTGCTACCAAAATCAAGCACGTTGAAATACCTAGCAACTGAAGGCTAGGATCTAAAAATTGTTGGAGTTTTAGTAAGATGAATAGGAATCCCACTTTCTTATCTACTAATATATAAGTGATGATAACACAAGACAGATAACACAGAGAGAGAGACTTCACTTACAATGATAGCTCCAACAGGGTCCATCCAATCATCAATGTAATTAGCAAGCAATGCAGCAACAAGGCCAATGACATTGGTGATTACATCAAAAAAATGATCCTGGGCATAAGCTTTAATGATCTCATTAGTAAATGAGCGGCAATAAAGCATCAAGAAGAGTTTCACCACTGTCACTGAAAGCATTATACCAACAACCCATCTCTCTTGCTCTTTAGTCAGGTTGAATTCAATCTCCTAAGACAAACAGAGAAAGAAGCATTAGAAATTTAAAGTTCACTAAATGAAGACAGAATTCATCAATTGACAGGCAAGACCTAATGTGTTTGAAATTTAATTAAAGTTCACTTACATCAGATATCATTGTCTGCACTGACTCCAAAATTATCTGTAGTCCAAGAGTTGCCATGACAGAGGCAAAAACAAGGATTCCCTAAAAAACATCTAGTAGCTTTTGAGTTTGAGTACCACAATAATATTTTCAAATTTTAATTAATAGTTCACAACCTCAACACATACAATTCAACATTTCCATAATCAAAGGTATGAAGACAGATATCAAAACAAGAAGCAATTAAGCACAACTGTGCCTATAGCGAGAACACATACAAATATGGGTACATAGATCCATATGCATCTATATAGCTTCACATGTATAGTTTTCAGTGTGCTAATCTAATGAAGTGCATATGCAAAACTTTCAGTCTATGCTGAAGTAGAACAGAAAAAGAAATTGGAGTGAAATAGAACAGAAACAGAAACTGGAGATCCGTCATATAGCTGACAACATAACTGATAATTTTATTAATTTAAAATCATAACAGAAGCAGAGCAATCCCTTCTCATGTAATTACAAACAACAATAAAACCAGTTGGTGACAAAAAATAGATTTGTCAAGTTAGAAGTGTAACGGTATTAATATGGATAAATATAATTAGAAAACATGACTGAAAGAAGAGTTCTGACCAACGGTTGCATTCTTTTCTTCCCAATAGGGTACCGATATGGATTTGGCATTTGCATGGTGAATGCAGTAAACCAGAGGATGAAGCCCGAGAGAAGATCAAGAAGAGAGTCTAAAGTAGATGCAATTATCGCTAAAGAGCCACTTCTGATGGATGCATAAACTTTAGCGGCAAAAAGAGCCATGTTTGCAACATTGGAAATCCTAATTGCGAATGTCTCACTTTTAGCCAACTTTTCCTGCTCTTCCTGTCGATCATAATAAGAACAATTTCAATTAAATGCTCTACATGGCCAAAAAAAGAAATTAAATGCTTTACAAATAAAGTACATTTTAATGCCTTTTTTAGAAAAACAAAGGCATTGTGAGACATAAACCTTTGACATTCCAGGAATAAAACCACGATCAGCCAAGGCATCCATTTCAATAAAACCCTCAAGCACTTCTACCTGCTGCTGATAGTATTCAGCCACATTATCTTCAGGGCCTGGAGCAATCAAGGAAAACAATTTGAATGAAATTTAACTTCAGAGTGGAAGTACTCTAGCACCCGAACAACAATCAAACAGCTATGGTGACAATGCTTTCTAATCACAGTAAAATTAATTATGGTATCCAAAAAAAGGGTTGATGGAAATCACACATTAATTATACTAGCTTGTCACCAGAAAAAAGGAATACTCTAGAACAGTTATGGGCACAGAACCGGGCCTTTAGGCCCAATGGTTTGACCCCAAGCCTTAAAGTGCTTGGGTGAGGTGGTCGGGGTTTCGAACTCCACCACCGTCTTGAAAACTCCCTTCCACCATCCCCCAAATTGTACACTGTTAAAAAAAAAAAGGAACAGTTATGGGCACAAAATGCTATATTATTCCAAAAAGCAAAAGAATTGTCCTTGACTACCTTGGTGTACTTAACTCTAGAAGTGAGAACCTCTCTGCACTCCATACTTTCTTGTCCAGTTGTGGATAAAAAGGCATGATTATCAACTTCTCATAGTTACATACACTCAATTCAAATAAAACAGCAAACAGATCCTCACATGCAAAAAAAGGAGGGGGGGGGGGGGGGGGGAAACTCATAATTTTCACCTCATCAACGCTACCAGAAAACTACAGCAGCCAGGAAACACCCCAATAAGGCAGCAAAAGCAGTACTGACATACCTTCTCAATCTATAGAATCACCACTAACCCTCAAGTCAAGTGTCCTACTGTCCAATACCACCCAGGTGGTTCCAATTACTTGTTCCTTTCAGCTTAGGAAGAACCCTTAATTGAAGATTTATTTAAGCACCAAGAAAGCGTATAGGAAACCAGTAAAACCCACAGACATACTTTATCGACAACTGTCACTACCTAATTCCAATCTTATTTGAGTAAAATCTGATGCAGAAAACATAAAGATTCCCACAAATGCATTCTAGTCATCAATAGAGAATAAATTCAAAGGCAATCTTCTCCCCCAAAAAATATATTATTTAAGACAAACAAAAAGAAAAGATAAATAAAAATTCAAGTAAATTCCTTACCAAACACAACAAAGAATCCAGTAGTGTTGCTATTTTAAGGTATCTGAAATCTAGAATGGTAGTAATATAAGCAATGACGTCTTGGATAAGAAAAGATGCAAGAGGTACCTAAAACTCCAAGGCAGTCATGAAGACCGCGAGGAGGCTTCTCCTCTGTGTGCTCCGGCGATAACTGGAATCCATTGAAGTTCAACCGCCAGGAGAGATCCCCATTGCACTGATGCGGCGACTGTGAGAACTCCTCGTGGCCATTGCTCTGCTGCAACAACGGCGAGAGCTCCACTTCACCGTCACCGTCGCGGTCGGGCGTCACCGGCTTCATCATCTTCCGGCCTACCTCAAAGAAGAAGACAAAAGCAAAATCCTGAGATTCACGCACCCACTAGTGCCACTACCTAGAACAGAATACAAAGAAATCATCCGACCCAAAATAATATTTTATTGGTTTTTGCCACTCTGTTAGTCCGCCTTTTGTGGACCATTTTATGCCCTCCCCCCCAATCAGAATCCATTACCCCTACGAGCATGAAAATTGTGGATTGTAATAAAAGATTGGAATTTTGGGAGCTGTTTGGTTACAAATTTTTCCAGGAAAATTGTAATTTTTGAATTTCAATAAATTAATAAAAAAACACATTTTAAAATATATAATCAATTAATTTTAATTATAATTAGTTATAATATAAAAACTCATTTTAATTTATTCATGATTTTTGTGCTTGAATTGTTGGGCCAAAATCGTCCAAAATTTGTCTTATTTCTTGGAATGTTTTTCCTAAGAAACTAGGCCACCAAACACAGCTTTGTAATCGAGTGTTTTGTAATTTAAATGTATTAAATTATAAAATAAAACTTTTGAATAGAAGAGGATTTTTAAAGGTATTTTTTAATTTAAAAATTTATATTTTATAATTTAATATAATTTGAATTGTAAAATAATTTTTTATTGAAATTAATATAGTTTCTTAATAAAAAATACTTAATTTGAATTGAAGATGTTCAAAAAAATAAAAGAAAAACTTTTGAAAGTAAATGTCTCCCTTATAAATTTTTATAAATTTGTCGGAGAAAATTTTAAAATAAATTTTAAATAAAATTTGAAAAAACTTATAATTTTATTAAAACTTACTAAAAAGTTACTTTTACAAGTTATTTTTAAAATTTTTCAAATAAAATTTAAAATTTATAGAAAAAAAATTATTGCAAACATGTTTTTTAATCCCTTCCGAACAACCGCTTTGTCAACTTTTTTTTTTAATTTTATTTTTTCATATAATATAATAGGAAAAAATGTAATTAACCATAAAAGAGACAGAGTGAGTTGTCATCAATCTACTTGTTGAATTTGTTGATTTAGCCAATAAGATTGAGAAATGTAGCGAGTATAAGTGAGACCGGATGTGGGTGATCCGGTGCAACGCAAGAAAAATGAGAGATATTTACACGTGGATGGATGGACGGTGGATGCTTAGGATGAGAAATAGTTTTTTTGGAATCATAGTACTAGAGTATTGTAGCGTGTGTATATAGAAAAGAATGAAAGTGAGTGATC